TTAAGACTTCCACGGTTACTCTCTTAAAAAATATTAATACTTTTTCGGATATCCATGTCATGATACATTGTAAATCAATTGAAAATGAGCTCCCTTCCCCTTTCACCATAGTCTTAACAACTCTTCTCCCCATTCTTTCTTTCCTCTCCCTCTTCTGTACAGTGTATATATAAGAGAACTCCGACAGAAAAGTGACGCAGGTTGCGCCTGGCTCTGATGAAGTAAAATGGAATGTTCACGAAATGTTGTATCATGACGGATAATACCCGAAAAAGTATTAATCTTTTTGACGTAATTTCTTATTATTATATTGATTTCTTTCATCATTCTCATGATATTTCTGTATGAAAGAATTAAAGTAAGAATATATTATAAAAAAATTTATTTACATAAACTTGCGACATTTCTGAAGATTTTCCATTATTATTACTTACGATATTATTTTTATTATTTATATCTGTTTCCCCTAATATTTCAGATTCTGAATTTGACTCTATTTGAAGTAAATAGAAATTTAAAGAATTATTATCCTTATCGTCATTATCAATATTCTTGTTTTTGACACTGTTATAATTAAATTTATTATTAATATTATCATCTTATTATCAATATTATCATCTTCATTATTATCATCATTCCATTGATTATTAATAGCAATATTATCTTGCATTATAGATGTACCATATTCCAAGTTCTGATTCATAAATGCTACGGCTTGCAGAACTATTTTTACGTGATCTGAAATCCTGATTTTAATATATTAAATACATTCGAAATTTTAAGTTACTTTATATAATAGTAAGAATGTTTAAAAATATGTATTCTTTACATATGTTTCTACATTATTGTGTGAGAGTATATTATGCGATATATAACTTGTATTAACATGTTCATTTTTCTCAGGAATTTCATTTTCGAATTCCGTTACTGATTCACAATAAGCATTACAGAGACGTTGTTTACATTGCTATAATAGGTGCAAGAAAAAAATAAATACTTTAGAGCACATTTGGCAATCAGAGATATTTCAAAGAGAGAGAGAAAGAAATTTCTTATCTCTTGTTTCCTCCTGTATTTTGTGGTTCGTGGCATTGTCTTTGTAGGATCGTCTAAATATCATTTATATTTACGTTTTAACATTTTAAATTATAATCTTTAAACGTAGTATTTTTATACTGCGTAGTACTTATGTGACTTTCGCAGGCTGGGACAATGCGGCAAAAAATGATACAAACTTTCCCATTTATAAAAATATTAACGATTCTTAACACGCGACAACATATCAGTGGGATTTCGAGCATTCGAGCCTTAGGCTCTAGCACGCCGGCGATTTCTTCTCCTTTACACATAAAAATCAGTTTTTTAATATTTAATTTAACATATTTATATTTTTACAAAAATGTTATTAATTCTGAATGTTTAATATTTACTTATGTTTAATTTCATTTAATTTTAATTTAATTTAATTTTTTTATTTTTATTTATAATTTAATCTATATTACAATCTTCTGCATTTTATTTTCACATATATTGAATTTTGTTTTTTTTATTTTTGTTTAGTTCTTTATGTTTTA